CCTATAATATGAGTTCAATTCCTGCCATGCCCAAAATATGCAACCTTACTCCTATACCCAAGGATATAATCCCTTTTGGAAATAGAACTTTTCTTTGTTCCCAATGGGATTATAGCACGATGTTGCTGTACGCCATGGAGTGAGTTCTGGCTCATAGCAACCAACTGGGGCAGGGTAGGACAGCCCTTAAGGTCCCTTACAGGAGCAGTTCACCATGTCTCTACCTCCCACAGAATCACTGGTGAGTTCGAATCTCTGGGTTAGTAGCTGAGAACTTAACCACCGAACCACTAGCACTCTGATGGGGTTCCTGAGCCGGCATCAATTCCATGGCAGGGGGCTTGATGTCACCCTGGGTGAACCATAAGTCAATTAATTTTTGGTGCCTGAAAGAAGCAGGTTCTGTGCAGATGCAAGCGGACACGTGGCAGGAGACAGACGTCAGGGGGAGACCTCCCAGAGATGCTGAGAATGCCAAGGCTCTGCAAGGCCTTCTCCACAGAGAGCCTTCACTCGAAGGCAACACCCTGAATGTAGACTGCTAACCTCTTAGGAAATAGATTTCAGTTCCTCAAGGCCAAGGCCACTCACTTGTTCTCTTTTCTGTCATTGCAGCATTAAAAATCTAACACAACACCTATTTCATCACCAAATGAACACATTTATGTATTCAGAGCTGGGGATCTTAGCTGAGGTACTAGCTGGTATATTGCATGACCAAAGGACACAGGCATGCTCTCTAGAATGGGCATGGGCCAAGAATTGGAGGAGGGGCCCAGAGGATAAACTTTATTTTCTAGATCATGGAAAAGCCCAAAGTGTCTGGGAGCCCCAAGGAGAAGGCTTGTGTATTGACGAAACAGTAGGAGGTATTTCAGAGGCCCTGGGCAGTGTAACGTACTCAACTGCTAGCCGAAAGGTTGGAGTCGCTCCCAGGCAACCCAGAAGGAAAGCAATGCAAACGACTTCAAAAAACAAAACAAAACAAACAAACGAAAAATCACTGAAAACCCTGTGCAGCACAGTTCGACCGTGCCACACCAAGGTTTGTCCTGAGTCAGAGGTAACTTGAGGGCTATTGGTTTTTAAGGGCGTTTTACTATTTAAAAATCTACCATGTCTGCGCCAAACATGAGGCTAAGTCCAACAGTACTGTAACAAAAATCATAGGAACCTTTATCACATAGAAACACCAAAAAGGGAAGCTTATTACTTCTTGACATGCCTGCCATGTGGGCTGGTACACTTCTGAAGGGGTGGTTCCTTTTCTCTAACCCTTCCCTAAAGAAGCCTTACTTCTTTGTTTATCACACCTCAAAAAGGCAGTTTTGATAGCCTTGGGGTACTCAAATTTTGTGCCTTGTGAATGTTTTTTTTTAGTTTTGGAAACAAAAAGATTCAAGGGGCAAAATCAGGGCTATATAGTGGATGGGTTCAGATTTCTCAATGAAAATGTTGTTGGGAAGTCTTTGTGACCCTTGAAGAAGGAGCAAGTGCATTGTCACGAAGCTGTTAGTTTTCTTAAATCTGCTAATAATCAGCCCCATGGCCAACTTGTGTTCTTTGAGGACATCTATGAAAAGTACCGTTTTGGATTTCCAAAATACAGTTCCAT